TCAACGAAATTCTTGGACTTACTTGGCAAGCTAAACATGACTGACATCCATGCTTAGCTTGAGGGGGAGTGTTGGTTCGGCTGATTTAATGTATATGTTAGTCATTGTTGGGTCTTAAGTCATTAGTTATTGGGCCTAAACTTGTTTAATGTTTTATTTGTCTAGGTGTCCCATCACTAATAGGGGGCATTCTAGTCCATTCATGCAACACTATGTGATAAACATATATATAAGATAGTAGGGTCGGCTGAAAGGTGAAGTGCCGCCATTCTCAAACTTTCTCCTCTTCTTCATCTCTTCTTCTTCTTCGGCTACTGTGTTCCAGCAAACAAAGCATATCGAGGTTGACAGACATTTTATCCGAGAACGAGTTGCAAGAAGTATGCCTTCCTTACATTGCCTCAAACATACAGTTAGCTGATCTCTTTACCAAAGTAGTCAAAAAATCAAATTGGAGACAGATTTACGCAAGTTGGGGATGACAAATATCTACTCCCAACTTGAGGGAGAGTGAAGAAATAGTTACTAAGTCACGACTGTGGGTTCCATACCCACACCTAGTTATTTTTGTTTCCTAGTTACTTCTTAATTTCTTTTAAGTTGGGCCGGCTGGCCTTATTATGTTTATCGATATTATGTTTTGTTTTATTAGGACTAGGATTTTTTTTCTCCTATTCTTGTAAGGAACCAAAGGCTATAAATAAAAAAGTGTATGGGGTGGCAGATATCATCAACCGAACCCCTTCTTTCTTCCTCTCTTCTCTTTCCTTCCACTCTTCTTCTCTCTCTCTCTCTCCCCTCTTCAAACCTGTGTTTCTCTTCTCAGATTTCACAGCAGCAGTTCTGATTTATTCAAGTAAAGCTATTTAAGGCAGAGCATTTACCCTGTCCATATTGTTCTCCATCAAAACCAAACCAACACTATATTAGACCATCCATCAGTTGTATTTCCATGTTCTTTGGAATAGATATTTCATACCAATAAAAAGTGAATGTCTAATTTTTGGATAGAGAGGACTATCCAATTATGGAAGATTTTACTGACAAGCTCTATCTTTTCCTCAATAAAGTAATCTTAACCTGATCATTTTAAATATTCACTGGATCCATTTTCATGGTGTCCTTTATTAATCAAGTTAAAAAAAGTGCCAAACTTAACAACAAAGGTCAATAATGAACAGAGATAACCAATATATTTGGAGAAGATTACTTGGATCCCATCAAGTAAGTCTTGAAGGGATTCGTTTAATGGTCCCAGGTCCACAGAACCATTACCTGCAAAATAGGCTTATATTAACTCAGCTTCCAAAATTAAGAGGTATATTATATCAAAATATTCAATATGAAGGTTACCAGCTTTGTTGTCATTTTCATCAATGTCCATAATGCCTAGATCATCCTCGTTTGCATCATCATCACTCAATCCATTTTTATCCCCATTGGCAGCACCTCCAAATGGAACAAGGGTAGGAACTTCAAAGCACATGAAGTGTGCAAGAAATGAACTCTAAAATTTGAGTGATAGAAACAGTTCGATGTCAAACACAATAAAAAGGTGTCCTTATAGGATACTGATCAAATGAATAAAATAAATAAATAATATGAGTATATCTATAGCATTAAGAAAGACAACAAAGGATCATAACCTCATCAACAAGGAGTGGAACAAAAACTGTAAGCATCTTTGCATATGCATCAGAAACATTGGAAGTGTCTACATTGCTCACAGGACCAGAGGAAGCATCAAGCCAGACAGTAGGATTTCTTGATGCCTTTGTACCAGCACGAATCTCATTGGCAAATTCACGAGCCTGTAAATGATAAAAAGTTGTCATACCTTACAAATAAAAGTTACTTTTTTCCCCAAAATACCAGATGCTATTATTTTCAATATCAGATTTCCAGCACTCAAGATTATAAAGAAATTACATTAATGATCTTGACTTCAGCAGTAGAAATTGGATATATTTCTTGGTTATTAGCAATCACAATAAATAAAAAATAAATAAAAGCAAGCAACTGGGCATTTTTCAAAAAATGAAAAAAAAAAGAGGCAGTGAAAGGATCAGAAATCTACATGACAGGAGTTACAATAAATGCAGCTAAAACATACAAGTTCAATATGCTTATAAAGTTCACATAAAATGGTAAAATAGGTCAGAATTTTCCAGAATTAGTAACTTAAAGTACTCAACCTTTCAGTATTACTATTGAGTATTGATAGTTCCAATACCATGAAGTGCCTTGAGTGTAGTTTATTAATATGACAACAAATATATCTTTAAGATGAAGAAGCAGAAGATATAATGTTCTATACCTCTCGACGGAGAAGCAAGTTAAGGGAGCCACAATAAGCTTTCCGCAATGGACCCAAACTCTTATCAAGACTCTAGAATTAGCACAACCAGAAATGGTTAAAAAGGATAGGATCGAAAGGTATTAGAATCTTTAATAGAGATCAATTTTGGATGGAATTAAAACCTTCAACTGTTGTATAAGGCGTGCATACGTCCTGCATTTGTACCGCAGGTCTGCATGATCAGGCCTCTTCAGTTGTCCCCGCTGTGCCCATCCAAGAAATAAACAAGGTTGAGTACATCAATCAGAAGAACTGTAATATGTAATGAAAATTACTAGGGAAGGTAGTTGACAAAATACCTGAGAAAAATAGCTCTTATCATTTATCATAAAATCCACCAAGCCAGCAAAGTAGTTTTTCAAAAAATCAGATGCTCTATGAACAAATGTAGCTTTTAATATTTCAAGCTCTGCATGCTTCTCTTTAACCTGTATAACTTTTATTACCATAGTTAACAATGATTATCCCAGAAAATAGCATAGAAAATAATATTTGCCACGCATAGTGGCAATCCAGTTCCAAAGCAGCTTCTAAGCATCAAGAAATTCTGACCATTAAAGTAAAGGACTTTGAAAAACCTTCCAAGATTATATTAAGGACGTTATAGAGATAGCCAATAGTGGGCCTTATGGGACTATTACGTGTGATGCATGAGCATTTAATGCAAGAGACACTAAAGGGTCATGTAACTCCCCAATTAATGAGATTAAAGACTACTAGTAAGAGGCTATTAACAGCCAAACAGAGAAGAGAGGAAGGAGAAGTGAAGAGGAAGAGAAGAGAGAGTTTTGGAGTCAATTACAGTGACTGGCGGTGCCAGTTTATATTAATATATATAGGGCGACCATAAATAAAAGGGAAAGGACCCTTACGCCCCTACTTAAGTTACAGCACAAAAAAAACAAAAGAAAAAATACTTTAACTAATCCAAACGGACCCTAACTCAGCAGAATACAAACATAAGAAATAAAACTAACATTCCAACACTCCCCACGCAAGTTGGGACAGGGATGTCAATCATGCCCAACTTGTCACACAAATTATTATGCCGCACATGATGAAGGCCCTTGGTGAAGATGTCTGCAAGTTGTTCCTCTGAACTGACATATGGAGTGCACACTTCTCCGCTCACAAGTTTTTCTCTAATAAAATGCTTGTCCACTTCAATATGTTTTGTTCTATCATGGAGGACTAGGTTCGCATGAATATTGATAGCAATTTTGTTGTCACAGTAGAGTGGCATAGGTTTATTAACTACAAAACCCAGCTCTCCTAACAAGTTTTTTATCCACATCATTTCAACAATTCCATGAGACATAGCTTTGTATACACCATAATTTGCTTCTTACTTCTCCAGGTAACTAGGTTTGCTCCCACAAAGGTACAATACCCACTATAGATTATTTGTCATCGACTGCCCCTGCCCAATCAGCATTTATATACACCTCCACTTTCAAATGCCCATGTTTCTAGAATAGCAAACCAACTCTTGGGAACTTCTTGAGGTATCTAAGGATTCTTTCTGCAGCTTCAAAGTGAGTTGTCTTAGGGTTATGCATGAACTAACTAAGGACACCCACTACATAGGCAATATCAAGTTTGGTCATAGACAGATATAAGAGCCTCCCTACAAGTCTCTTGAACTTCTTCACATCTTTCAAACACTCCCCCTAACTGTCTCCTAGTTGATGGTTGGGCTCAATGGGTGAATCAATTGGTTTCACTCCCAACTTGCCTATATCCTCTAACAGATCTAGTACATATTTCCTCTAAGAAATAAAGATGCTCTTTTTAGAGCGGGCAACTTCAATTCCAAGGAAATAACGTAAGGGCCTAGATCTTTCACCTCAAATTGAGTGGCTAAGAATTTCTTCAGCTTCTATATTTCAGTCTTCCAGACTCCAATGATTACTATGTCATCAACATACACAATTAAAGCTGCAATTTTCCCTTCACCCTTCTTCACAAACAAAGTATGATCTGACTGGCATTGTTTGAATCCCATCTGTTGTATGGCTAAATGAAACATACTAAACCAGGCCCGAGGTGATTGCTTCAACCCATATAATGATTTTTTTAACTTGCACACCTTCTGCTCACTACCTTTGGCATAGAAACCTGGAGGTTGAGTCATGTAAACCTCTTCCTTTAGGTCACCATTCAAGAATGCATTCTTGATATTCAACTGGTGAAGTTCCCAGTCAAGGGTAGCTGCCAGTGAAATGAGGACATTGATTGAATTCTCATCACTTAATAAAAATGAAACTTTTGGGGTGTCAATAGTAACTCACCCCTTCTCTCAAAACCTTATTCTTTCTTCCTTTTCCTTCTTCTTCTTCTCTCCTTTCTTCCTCCTTATTCTCTTCTACCTTTTGGGGTGTCAATACAACTTATCTTTTCTTCAAATGTTATTATATCATACACTCTTTTGGCTTCTACCCTCCTCCTATCCTCCCCTTGAATAGTGTGCAATTCTTCTTTTCTATCAACCTCCTCAATCACCTTTAGAGCTTCAAATTTTGTTTTTTCTGCTGCTTTCAAAACATTCCCTCTCCATGCTTTTATATCTTTTTAGAGCATCAGATTTCAAACCTCTTTTGTTTTTTTCCATCTTTATTTGATTTTCTTATCTTTAACCAAGACTCTTTTGATCTTATTCTTTAATGCACCTAATATGGTTTAAATCTCCACTTGGGATCTGCTACCCACAAGTTGTTCCCACTTCCCAAAAACCTACCCACAAGGCACAACCACCATCTATTGGGAACATCTCCCCATGAATGATAAGGGGGATATTAATGTCACATGGGTAGAGATGTGGGAACAGCTTGTGGGTAGCAGATCTGAGCCCTTAAATCTCTACCTTTCCTTTCTATCATCTATGCTAGTTTGTAATTTCTCTTTCTCCCCTTTTAGTGCCTAATTTATGATCAAGATCATCATATGCCGTAAATTTAACTTCACTTTTTTTCAACTTCCGTTCTTATGGTTTTATATTTTTGCCAATTTTCTACATTTTTAGTCTTTTTCCATTCGTTGTAACATGCTCATTTTAATTTGATCATATTTTGAACCTCTTTATTCCACCACAGCAATATCCCATTTCCCTTTATATTCTTCCAAGACATCTTTGCTACTTTCTTTATACAGTTTGTCATAAATAAGAATGAGCTCATTGAACTTCCTCGTATAGGTGCTATATGCATATGACAGGAGCCACTATTCTTAGGAGGGGGTCTGATTCCTTGAAAAAAAAAAAGATAGGACACTTTGTTTATGGAGAGCTTTTAGGAAGTCTGGATGCTTGTGGATATGTCATATATATGCATGGCTTTTGTAAAGAGACACATCCTTATGCTCAGGGAGATAACTTTTCTGCACAGGGTGCTAAGCCAACACCATCAATTCCCTTGTGTATCTTCTTTTTTTCCTTAATAAATATTTTTCATTATTTATCAGGAAAAAGAAGAAAAAGAATAACTCAAATAAATACAGAAGACAAAGGGCATACAGCACGCATATTTGCAAAGCAAGGATCCAACTGTGGAATTTCCAGACCACGCAAAGCACCAGTTAACCATTCACATGCTTCAATATTCTGATGCATGTGTGACTCATCAAAAGAACCTCCTGATAGACAAGATGCGTACTGAAACCAAGAAAATTGAGTTAGAATATCTATGAAATGATTTTAGCCAGAAATGAACTCTTTAAATGCAAGTATATATGAAAGCATACCTCAGAAGGAATACACATCCTTTCAAGAAGCTTATCAAGCTCCTCAATGAGCGCCTTGTTATTTACAGACTGCATTCCCAACTTGTTATTACGATGTTCTATCTGGATATGACAACCAAATATAAAAGTAAGGTAAGTCTACCAACTAACAAAAAGCAAGTTTGTTATTATGATTTTCTATACTGCTTGATCATTTAAATAAGTAAATTGAAGAACTGAGGTACTAAATCAAATGAAGCATGAAAACCATATGAAACTGTTATTATCCAGAATGGACACTTTGTGAAAAGGATTCAATAGAAACTTAGGTAGAGCTATCAAGAAGTAGGGGTGCAAGTGGATCAAATCGAATTTGGATAGGGGTAATATCCAAATTCAATTTGATAAGAAAAGCAATAGCTTCAAATTCAATAAGAATCTGTTAGATATATTCAATTATGATTCAAATTTGATTCGACAAGATTGTTAGTTATCCAATTCAAATCAGATTATTGAAAAAATTTTAATAACAATTGTTTTCTTAAAATTTGAAGTAAAAGAGGTAATGAAAATTTTCGTTTAACCAAAAACAAGACACAAACCTGAGAACAACATCGAGGAAACAACTGCATAAAAACAAACAGTTGTGAAACACACCTGCAATAAATTAGAAAAATATAGAGAAAGAAAAAAGAAAGAAGGAAAGGTTACAGTAACATTGTTAGGGATAAAAACAGAAGCAATAGAAGAGATATAGGCACAATAAGAGGGTGATAAAGTATCATAAGAGACATAGTTTGAGATAGGATACTTAGCACATGTCCGTCTTGCATTACAAATTGCAATAGGAAAGTTAAGGTCATAATTTACAAGAGGAGGCTCAATAACAGATTCAAAACAGCATCGAAAATAGGAAGAGGTTCAGAATCCAAATTACCTGAGTCCAGGAGGTCAGTTTGTAATGGACATTCAATCTCTAGAGTCATCCTCTTTTCTCGTTTGACGAACTGCTGATGTCAAGACCAAGGAATAAAAGGAGGCAAAGGAGGAGGACTACTACCACCACAGGGAGGAGGAGAAGAAGAAGGATTGACAACATCAATTGCAGGAATCAACATACAAAAGGGAGTCCGATCTTCAGTAACATTCTCCCCCTGAAGAGAAGGACGAGAGACGGAAAAGAGAGTAGACTAAAAGAATATGACATCTTTGGACACATACCTTTTTCCAAAACAAGGGTCATAACAACGATACCCCTAGTGTTTTAAAAGCGCAAGGCGCAAAAATGGCGCAAGGGTCAATTTGCTCCTGAGGCACAAGGTGCAAGGCGAGGTATGTGCCTTTTTAAGCAAGGCACAAAAAATAAAAAAAAAAAAAAAAGAAAAATCAAAAAATGTCAAAAAATCAAAAAACAATGCCAAAAAATTGCAACAAATAAAAAAAATTAGCAAAATAGTACTAATAAAATATAAACTTTAATTTTAAGAAATTGTTTTACAAAACTTATTATCTAATATTAAAATACACAAATATAACATGTAAAGCATATTCAAATGAGAATTTAAAAATAAAATCAAATATATAAAACATTTTCAAGCATATAAAACCCACAATCTCTTTTTTTTCTCATTTGCGTTACTTCAAGTAGCTAATGTGATGTAAAACATATTACATTCCTAATTCTACAAGCTGCCTTTGTGCCACGTGTGGAGACTCTATAACTTGATTTACCTTATTAGTATAGTCCCTGTTGTATATTACTTTTACATTTTATTCTTCTTTTCTCTTTCAGCCCTATATGGGCATCCTTGTAATTGTACATAACTTTTAATATATAAGAGACTCTTTGAGGTGGGGGTCATTCATTCTTGACACCTCCAAGATTATTCTTGTTCTTTTCTCCATTCGGCCAAGAGTGTTGACATGGTATCAAAGCAGGTTGCTCTCTGATCTATTTTCTCGCTCTCTTAAACCTTACTAGAAGCAGTAAACCTGTCGTATTAGGGCTATCTTGATCAACCCTTTTCTGTTCTTTCTTCTTTGCACAACCAGCAGGAGAGATTTCTTTAGATTTCTCTTGGGAGACATTGGTTTGAGGCCAAACCTCAGATCTAGTGTCGCCTAGACCTGATCTATTCTCCCTACAAACAGCATCTGATTTAGTGAAGTTTTCAAAGGAGTTCTGATCTTCTTCTTGGGGCGACAACACTATACAGTTTTCTATTTTGGACTACAACAGCTTTGGACTTCAGATCTAGTGTCGCCTAGACCTGATCTATTCCACCTACAAACAGCATCTGATTTGGTAAAGTTTTCGAAGGAGTTCTGATCTTCTGATCTATTCCACCTACTTAAGGGCAATCTTGTAAATCATGTAACTTAAGTAAGTTTCTTAAAAGATTAGTGGGGGAAAAGAGGAGATTATCAAACTCCTCCTTTATTTCTCCTTTCTTCTCCAATCTTTCTTCTTCTTCTTCTTCTTGTCTTCTTCTTCTTTCTTACTTTCTTTTGCATTAATCTAAAACATTTTGCTAATTTTATTGGTTTGAATCACATCTCATCCAAACAATCCCCCTCAAGCTGAGCATATATATCAATCATGCCCAACTCATCTAAGTTCTTGGCAAACTTTGGAAGATGAAGGCCTTTAGTGAGACAATCAGCCAGTTGGTCTTTTGACCTTATAAAGGGTAGGCAAAACTCTCCACTTGTTATCCTCTCTCTGATAAAATGTCTATCCACTCCGATATGTTTTGTACGGTCATGTTGCACAGGATTGTGGGCAATGTTTATGGTTGCTTGATTGTCACAATAGAGTCTCATTGGAGTATCAGCTTGGATGCCTATCTTAGTCAATAAGATCTTCAACCAGAGTAATTTTGACACTCCATGGGTCATTTCCCTATACTCTGCCTCAGCACTAGATCGAGCAACAACAGATTATTTCTTGTTTCTCCATGAAACAACATTACCTCCAACTAAGGCACAATAACTGGATGTAGATCTCATATCATCAATACACCCTACCCAATTTGCATCTATGTAGGCCTCAACCTTTATATGCCCATGGTTGGACTACAGCATCCCTCTAACAGGACCAAATAGGCAAGGATTCTATTAACAACCTTCATGAGGGAGGTTCTAAGCTCATGCATATATTGACTGACCACTCCGACTGCATATGATATATCAAGTCTAGTTAAATAGAGATAAAGAAGGTGGCCAACCACTCTCTGAAAGACCCCTTTGTCTAGAAGAAGATCTCCTTCAGTAGTACTCAACTTGTGATTGGGATCAATTGGAGTTTCTATAGGTTTGAATCCTAATTTCCCAACTTCATAGAGCAAATCAAGAACATACTTTCTTTGAGAAAGGAAGATTCCCTTCTTGGATCTTGCAACATCAATTCCAATAAAGTATTTTAAGATCACTGAGATCCTTAATCTCAAATTCCTAAGCAAGAAAAGATTTTAACTGTGAGATACCTGAAATGTCATCCCCAGTCATAACGATGTCATCAACATATACTATCAACATAGTCAATTGTCCATCGACCTTATGAACAAGGTGTGATCAACTTGAGACTGAGAGAATCCAATCTTCAAAACAGCATTTCTAAATTTGTCAAACCAGGCTCTTGGGGATTGCTTGAGACCATACAAAGATTTCTTCTTACGACAAACTTTCCCTTCACTATTAGCAAAGCTTACCCCAGGAGGTAAGTCCATATACACTTCATGCAGATCCCCATTAAGAAATGCATTCTTCACATCCATCTGATATAAAGACCAAGATAAATGGGTAGCAAGTGACATAACCACATGAATAGAATTCATCTTAGCAACAGGAGCAAAGGTTTCTAGATAGTCAATGCCATAGGTTTGGGTATATCCTTTGGCCACAAGGCGAGCTTTAAACCTTTCAATTGAACCATCAGCTCTATGATTAATAGTGTACACCCACTTACACCCAACAGGAACCTTATCCTTGAGATGAGGTACAATCTTCCAAGTCTGATTCTTTAACAAGCCCTCCATCTCTAGGTTCATAGCCTCCTTCCAGTGAGGAGACTGCACTGCTTCTGTAACACTACAAGGAATGGAAATAGGGGAGATGGCAGAAATATAGGCATAATAGGAAGGTGAGAGAGCATCATACGACACATAATTAGTTATGAGATACTTGATACATGTTCTCTTTCCCTTTCGAAGGGCAATAGGGAGATCAAGATCAAGGTCAGCAATAGAAGTACTAGGAGGTTCAAGATTACCCGAGTACAAGGGATTAGATTGTGGTGGGCATTCAACTTCAGAAGCCACCCTCTTATTGTGACTAATGAAAAATTGCTTCCAGGATTGAAACCGATACACAAGAGGTGGAGGAAGAGGGGAAGGAATGCCCTCATTACAAGGATGAGAGGAAAAAGAAGAACTAGAAAACACGGAAACAGGAACAGGAAAGCAGAATGGAGTTCGATCTTCACTGGCAATCTCCCCGTAAAGAGGTGGATGGGATAATTGAAAAAAGGATAAGGACTCAAGGAAGGTAACATACGTCCGACCAGATTGAGTATCAAAACATCTATAACCTTTCTGAAAAGGAGAGTAACCAACAAAGACACATTTAATAGACTTAGCATCAAACTTATGTCTCAAGGACTCATATCATGAACAAAATAGACACATCCAAAGACCTTGAAAGGTAAATTGAAGGTGGGTTCATCAGGAAGAAGTTGGTGAGGGGACTGAAGATTTAGAACCCTTGATGGTAGCCGGTTAATAAGATATGTAGCAGTCTCAACAGCATCTCCCCAAAAACAAGTAGGAACATGAGTCTAGAATAGTAACCGACGAGCAACTTCAACGACATGTCTGTTCTTCCTCTCAACAACCCCATTTTGCTGTAGAGTAATGACTACATGAGCTTTGGTGAATAGTGCCCCATTCTTCAAGAAACACATGAAGGTACTCCTTTGCATTGTCAGATCGTATTATCTTAATTCTTTTCTCTGTTAGTAAACCCTAGCAGATTCTAGGTTGAAGTAGAGAAGAAGAAAGAAAAGAGAAAGAAGAAGAAGAAGAAGAAGAAGAAAGAAAGAAAGGTTCGGCCAGACTAGAAGAGAG